GTGTGTGTGTGTGTGTGTGTGTGTGTGTGTGTGTGTGTGTGCATCGAGCAATACGTTGAGGTTGGTGTACAAACACTGCACAATGGCAACAGGTGATTCAGGGGAAGACACTTCAGCAGAAAGGGATTCCCGTGGGATTTGTGGCGAACTACTTTACCCTCTGCCTGTTTCCTCTCAAACATCCCATAGGTGTGATCTGGATGACTTAAAACCAAGACCTGCTGAGAATTATTGACAGTCAGGATCTCACTCAAAATAAACTGCATTTTTTTTCTCTCCACATGAATTGAGCAGGGCACAAGGTTTGAGAGGATAATCTTTTCTTCCTCCCAGAAAGCGTCTAATTGCAATTGGCTGGTGAGCCCACACAGAATGGTATGCAGCTATGAATGATGTGTTTACGCAGGTCGTTTTTATGTGAAGTGTATGTTTGCTTTCATATTGCATATAATTTTCCCAATAACACTCAGATCTGCTATTAACTTACCACAATGTTACTTCAGACAAAATTGCAAGGGATTAACTGTTTGTGTTCTGGTCTGAACAGAAATGAAACTGACAACAACGGCAGCAAACAATTTTAGATAAATTATAGAATTTGAATGCAGAATTTAATGCCTGAGAAAACCAAAAATATTAGGAAAACAACTCCAWCCTGTTACAAATACAAAAATAAAGCAAACAAATAAACAAACATTATACATCATATRGTGAAATTCATTAATATTTTCCTGGAAGACAACATACACCTCAATTATATGACTGGGATCACACTAAAATCCCTGTTCTGATGAGGTTTTAAAAAAAAAACAGCAACATTATTGCAACATTGAAAACATCCTGAGACAGATTTATGATATTTGTGCATATCTGTGTGCCATTAATAATACTCCTTTTTTGGTCTTCATATCTAAAAAAAAAACATCAACAAAGCAAATAAGAGCATTCTGTTTCTGAGATTGAATCATACATTTCTGTCACTGTTACTTACAGAGCTCTCTTGTAAATGAGACTACTTGCTTCAATGCAAGTACCTGTCTAAATAAAAGTAATTCAATAAACAGATTTAATAGCAATCGTTAGAGAAACACCTAACCAAAAAGAGAGAGAGAGAGAGAGAGAGAGAGAGAGAAAGAGAGAGAGAGAGAGAGAGAGAGAGAGAGAGAGAGAGAGAGAGAGAGAGAAAGACCAATGCAAAGAAAACACAAACCTAATCTCCCATTTCGCAACTAAGCTTAGCACACAATTAAGGAAGTTCGTGTTTGGTTAGTTATTTCTCTGTTGTAACAATGCTTCTTGGTAATGAATCTTGTGCATTTAGTAAGCCTGGTAATTTCCCTTTTAAATGGTGCCACATTTATAAGGAACATGCATTTGTGGGATGGGCTGTAGAGTTGAGCGTGTGGGTTGYGCACATGAAAAATTTGCCAAATCTTCTCTGCAAAACAGCTTTTTTTTTGCTGTTGCTATTGACATTTGTTTTGAACTTCTGGTACCCCCAGGTGCTGCCAATCAGGTGCCCACTATAAGATTTATTGCCAAGAATCCTTTTTAGAACAATGAAATGATTTACCAAACACAAATTTCCTTACTTTTTGTGCTRAGTGTGATTACTTCGAGATACCACAGTGCCACAGTGACGTCACCAGCTGAACAATTAAACACCGTCTTATTTATTTGAGAAAATAAAACACTCTCTTTAAGTGTATTTGGTAACTTGGTCAATATTAACAAGAWGAACAGACTAAAAATTAAAATGAGAGTGAGGGTGAGTTGGTATTCTGACTCGTCGTGCAGCAGCCATTCAGCGACGCWAACAGTGCGTTCACATCAATAATCACAGCTAGATCAGCTGTAATTGGAGGACAGTGCTTATTCCCATGCTCACACTGTCCCTCGAAACACAGCCATGGCTAAATCTGTGGCGCCACATTTGCAGAAGCAGGTAGTAATAAGGCTCTGGACGGTGGCCCGTRGATGTGTTAGCTGATGTGTTACTCAGAGGGGCCCAATGAAAAGACCCCAGGCGCCTAKCCCAGTGTCTCCACAGAACTAAAGGGACCATTAGGCTGAATTTAAAGGGCAAGACATTTAGGCTGCTGTCATCTTGTGTCAGTCCACCACAGGGACCGCGCCGTGGTTAAACGGGCTCGTAAATAAACACCACAGGCACACAGGCGGGGAGCTATGCTGTGGTGCTGCTGCTGCTGCCGCTGGTGGGGTAGCTGACCGCAGCTTTGGACCAAAACTCTTTTCAGCACCCCTCCTCCCCTGCCCCGCCAGCAGCTCAGTGATTACCAGACCTAACCTTCAGTTTCATAAGTCATCTGCTAGACTGACAGCTCCCCACACAGCTGCTTTGTCCCAGTCTTGCTTTCTCTGCTTAGTCTTTCTTTTCCTTCTGCACGCACGCACGCACGCACGCACGCACGCACG